CCCTCTGCATGGCTTGTGGAAAATCAGAGAAATCAAACTGGGAAGGCTCACAGCCTTGCAGGGACAGACAATAGCCTGCAGGAAGGGGAGGAAGGGGTTAAAGAGGGTTTATCACACATAAAAAGTAAATATTTGAGGCAGAAATGCAGAAGGAAAGAATAATGGAGAGAGAAGGGCAGGAGGAGGAAGCCAGAAGTGTAAAGGGAAGAAAAAGGAGGATTATATTCTGCCAGAAAACAAAGGGATGTTTGTATGAGAAAAGCATTGGGGAAGCATTGGGGAAATGAGGGTTCAGCTCTGCACAAACTTTCTGTCTGACACAGGACAAGTCAATCTCTCTGTGTCTCAGTTTGCAAAGGCTACAATGGGAATAATAAAGTCTCCTTTGTTCTGCCTCTCTCTGCTCACATCAGACGTCCCTTCTGTTTGTATGTTGTAGAAAGCCAAGATGCCACCGTACTGCAAACACGAGTAAAATCCACTGAAACTTTGAGGAGAAAAAAAGGAAGGCAATTAGACTATCATAAACCTGGGAGGTAACTGCCCCCAAAACTGGGGGGTGGGGTGGGCTGGTGATGTAGAAATACAGGAAAGGCCTTTACTGAGGGGAGAAGAAAGAAAATATGAACCAGATAAATCCTACTGTTGCATACTGGACTCCAGTGGAGTTCCTCGAGGGATGGGTTTAAGCCCAAGGAGTTCAGTTTTGTTTGGTTAAAGAAACTTTGTGCCAAAGTTTTTAAATAGTCAAATCTGTTCTGAGAACTATGAGAATGTGGGCTGCCTCTCTTGAAACATTGCATGGGACTTGGGATGAACAACTCCTGCTGAAGGCATCAGGAGCCAAGTGATTAAGCCCCATGCAGTGCTCTGACAGGAGGCCTTCTTCTTGCCTACGCATACTTTTTTTAAGTATAGAAAGTATTTCCATATTCCAGCAGCTGATCTTTATTTGAAGCCAAGAGCTGCATTTTTCAGACTAGAACTGAAGCTTTTCTAGGAAAAGCCACTCTGGAGCAGATCATTGCTCCATCTAGCCCCAGACCGTGTCTCCAACAGAGGCCCTGCACTCTGCTTAGAGAAAGCAATCTGAAAGCTCACAGAGCTCTCTCCAGGCATAATTTATACTTCATTCCAAGAGTTAGAGCTTGGCTTTCACTTCAAAGTCTGTAGGCTTACATTCTTTTCAAAACTCTTGCTTATTTTATTAATCTTCACAGTTCCCTGGAGATTGTTGTTTGCAGATCTCCAACCTGTTCAAGAAGCCCCTTGAGCTGCTGACCTCCATGTCCTGCAGCAGTTGAGTTCCCCAGGCCAGCTGGGGCATTTATGCAGGGGAAAAAGGAATTTTCTCAGTTTCAGGATTGCTACATTTAACATGGAAGCATGCCTTAAGCTTCTCATCTCACCCATCTGGCTTCTCATTACAGCATGTCATCTAAAACAGTGAGCTGCTTCTGCCACCCAGGGAATCCCTGCTGGGAAATGGACTGTGCGTTGTGTGATGCTGCTCTGCCCTCACATGTGACTCAGCCATGCTGAGGATCCACTCTTTTAATTTTTCAGTGCTTCCAAGTTTACAAGAACACGTTATGCTGTCAGCTGCTCAAGCTCACATGGTGTGCTCTCTTCTCGTGTCGCTGGAGTGATACAAGTTTGTGGCCAGTCGTGGTGTCCCTGTTATGTGGATGGCACACTAAGCCAGGACAGGAAGAAGGTGTGAGGTGTTGCAGGGTGACTGGGTTTACAGCACTGTGCTCTCTGTGTCTCCCTTTTGGTAAAGAGGAGATTGCAATATTCAGATGTCTTGGCAGCTCTTGGTGAGACCTGCTGGGAGAAAGCAAGAGGCACACTGTTGTGTAGTTCCATGCTTAGGAGGGTGGTGAACCTGCAAACAAATACCTGGACAATGGGGAGGATGCCTCAGTGTCCAGCCTACCCTTTCTTCATACCTCTGTCCTCTGTCTGTCTACTGCAGGAGGGCTTGGGTCTTAGAGGGGTAGCAGGGAGGAGTAGGGCAGGATACAAAGTACAGCCTTGGTGTACATGGGGCTCTGCAGCCAAAATCAGATGGTGCCGTGCAGACATGGCCTTGGATCCAGCACGCAAACAAACAAAACAAATGTATTAGAAACAGCTGGGGAATAGGATGAAAATAAGCATTTTTAAGGATATGCTTATAATAACTTATGAGCTGGGGAATGAATAGTTGCTACACTGGACCCTCCTGGAGACAGATTTACTGTTGGTTTCGGGGTCCTTATTAGAGCCATAGGTTTTCCCATTTATGTATACCTTCCCCTAGCCCTTGCTGGAAAACCTCATAGCATGTGCTGAGGTGTAGCCTCTAACACAAGGATTTTGTCAGGAACCGGAATGACCTCTGAAAGAGTGGCCATGGCCTCATCTGGGGGTCATGAGCTGCCACTTGGTTGAGCACAAACATGATCCAGAGTGAGGGCATTGCTTCAGGCACTGATCTGCCTTCAGGAGTTTCCTTCCTCATCCTGAGGGAAGTTTTGCAGATCTTGGGGCTTTTTGTTTATTCCCTGGCTGTAGGATGGGCTCACAGTTTTCTGATTCATTCATTGTGTTGGAGCAGGTCTGACCTATCCTGAGTGATACTAAGAAGGGGGAAAGTACCTTCTGGCAGCACTGTCCCCTTTCAAGTCTTTTCTTGCCTCTCCTGTGCACAGTCAGGACATTGGGGCTGTTAGCAGAGAGCCCCATGCCTGCAGCCTGCCCCGCTACAGCTCAGGAGGTGACCATCTTTTAAAGTCACACATTTCTCTCCTGGCCTCCATGCGCATCACCTTCGTGGTTTGCAGCCCTTCCTTGTAGAAGAGTGTCTGAAATTGTCCTTCAGCCCTCAATATAGTGGGCTTTTGCTAAGAAGTCCTTGTTATGTGCTCTACATACACCCACTGACTTTTTTTCTAATGTTCATTAAGATCTCAGTTGTATAGTGTCTGTGTCTGCTGCATAGTTAAGTGTCTAAGAATTGACTTTGCCATTTCCCTGAAAAATTTAATAAATATTGGCCAAAAATCAACTTGCACTGACACTGCTGAACATGCAGCTGGATAAGTTTGGCCCACTACTCCATTTGAGTGTCTTCAACGCCCCATGATGTGTCTAGCACATTGGCTGTTCTTGTTTGCTTCACAGTTGGATGAGATGCTTATATATAAAGCTGCTTAAACTCCAAACATTGCCTGTGGCTGACAAGTTCCTACCTTTGATGTAAGAGCTAGCCACAACCAGGGATCTGAGACGTTATTCTTGTTAGGAGGATAAGTTAATAGCACAAGTTAATAGCACATAAGTTAATATATTTAACACAGAGTGCACAAAGTCATGCTTACTTGATGACAGAAAGACTTCAGCAACCAGGACGCTTGTGCTTGGTCCCAAAACACTTTACTGATACAATGCACTCTTTAGGGGTCCCTCAGGACCGTGCTCTGGTGGCTGTTCAAAATGCAGCTACATTGGCCCTGCCTTTTCATTGAATTACCTCACTCCTTTGTCTGCTAATTTTCACTAGCTTACTGGTCAACTTGTGCATCTTTTGGAGCTGAGTGCCACAGAGGTGACACATGAGAGCATACAGGGACACACAGAGGTAGCTGTAGCCTTTGGTCACCAGTGATGGACGTGTTTACATGTATGAGACAGTCTTGTTGCACAATCTGACTGTGAATGGCAAGCGCTGCCTCATTTGCCATTAACAGTAACTCAGCCGTAATAATACTAACATTTGTAGTTCAGCTGCAGGTGAAAATGGCTTTTACAGTCTTCATCCTGTCTGTTCCAAATGTCTGCATGGATCAAACCACTGTACTTTTGCAGGCTGCATGTTGGAAGTAATAGGTGGCAGTATAAAGGAGGTGCTTTTATCCTTAGTCCCACTTTCAGTCCCAAATGTTCAGGTATCATTTGCTGTGTTCAGCAAGGAGGGTGTGATGGCTGCAGCACACCAGTAAAAATACAGGGTTTCAAATGTGTTATATTCTTTGGTGAGCTGGAATAGATTTAAGGCCATATGGAAGATCACTTGTCATGATGGGTATTCACTACCCAGTGATGGATGACTTATTTTTCAGAGTAACTACAAAGATGTCCTTCAAACCCACCTTTTGTTTTGTAATTGCACTGATGGAGTAGCAGTGTCCAGCTTGCTCTGGGGTTATCCATTACTGCTGGGCTTTTGCGAACAGAAAGATGCTGCTGGTGCCTGAAACTGTCAGCAGTTCTTTTTCTGAGCCTTCCAGGAGAGTAAAAATCTGTGATTTCTTTGGTGAAATTTTAGGAGACATGAAATAATTTGGCACTGCAGGGAAGGCAAATGGCCTGTGCAGGTACACTTAACATATAATCAAACAGCATGAATTACATGAGGTTGTGTTGTGGCTTCAAACTGCTCCTTACGCAGGGAACACTCATCCGGAGCATGTCCTCCCTCTGACCACAGTCCACACCTGGAGATGTTCCATCTCCAGCTGTGCTGTGTACAGCAGAAAGGGGGAAAGGGGAAAAGCCTTATTTAAGCCAGTCCCTGCAAATCTATCTCAAGGGCTGATGCTAGATGGATGTGTATGAGCTGCAATGTTCCCTGCGATTTTGCTTGGACTGTGTTGAGAACAGTGAAGGGAGAAGGCTCCTCGCTTGGTGTGCAAGCTGGGCATCTCCCAGGCTTGATAGTATGGTCTTGAAAAATGCAGCAGGGATAAATCTGGTTACTTGGTGGGAAATTTAACCTTTCAGAACTTCTGAAGGATAGAATGGTGAGCTGATTCTCTGTATTTTTTTTTACAAGCATATCTCTATTGACATTAATGCTGTTGGTGTATCAGCCATTTGGGTCCATTTGTTGGTGCTTTTATGTAATTTATAGACTTTCTCCAGTCTGATTTTGAAAAACATGTCATGTCCATGAAGCTGGGAGCAAGGGCATACTTCCTATTAATGTGGCTTTCCCGTTTTTCTCTGTTTTGCAGGTTCTTTTCGAAATGATGGTTTAAAAGCTGCTGATGTCCTTCCTATACTGAAGGAGAAAGTGGCCTTTGTGTCAGGTGAGCACATCTTTTCTTGATCCCTCCAGCTCAGCATGAGCACCGTCTGCCACATCCTGGTCCTTACGGCGCTGCAAAGTCATGAGGGACCAGCTTCAGGTTTTGGCCTTGGTAGTACTTAAATTAGCTCTTCTGCTAACAAAAGGACTGTATGTGGAACAGGACTATCCAGTAATACTCAGAGCATTGGAAACTGGCCCATATTGATTTTCTTCATATTCTGAGGAACAGGTAAATGGGCAGCACAGGTAGGATGAAATACAGCTTCTCAGCTCCAGCCTAGATGTGGGCTGTCTCAGCACTCAGGGCAGTTCAGGGATCCTGCTTTGGTTTCAAGGTCAGTGAATAGCGTTAATTCCTGTTTGTAGGCAGCGCTCTGACCCATAAATCACTGGTGTTCCATTTACAATCCCAATCATCTTGCAGTTAAAAGTACCATTGATGCTGCATTTGCATAATAACTCAGATGCTCAAAGCTCTCCTGCCACCCTGTACAAAGATTTACAGCCTTCATTCAGGAGACAAATCTCGAGGACCTGGGGGTGGATGAGGACTAGACAATATGGAAAAGGCTTTGAGAATAGCTTGGATGATAGTGTTTCTGGCATGAATTACAACTTGTCAGTGAGAGGGGGAAGAGAAAGTCTGAAGCAATCATAATCTTACATGAAGTCACTCAAACTGGCAGCATAAACCCAGGATATTTCCAGTGGCAACGTTTCTATGATTGCAAACCACTCAGGCTGCTTACAGTGAAAAACCTGCATCAAGAATAGCCAGCTCCCCTCGTTTGCAGTTTTTATTTTTTGTTTCCTGCATCTCCACAGTAATGCTGACAACAGCAGGGAGGAGAGGAGCAGCAAGGCTGTTTGGTGCCCAGACTCTTCCTCCTTGGCTCTCTCCCCAGATGTGGAGTCAGGCCCATGAGGATGGGGCTCATCACCCTTCTGAGCCATGGAGATGCTGTCCAGGCAGGAAAAGCTTTTGCCTTGACTAATGTTTGGTGTGAGATGTCTTTCCATGTAGCAACAGCTAAATAGTCCAGGGATCATGAGTCCGGCAGTGACTTGGGCAAACAATTTCTTGCCCTATAAAAGCTAAACCTTCTCATCAACAACATTGAAAATCCAGGAGTTTGAGGGAAGTTTCTGAAACACCAAAAGCCTCACATGGAAATCCAAGACTATCCCAACAGTCCTCACATGCAGGAGTACTTTATCTCACACTGAAATCTCCTTCTGAATGTCCTGAAATGTTTTATGTGGTTGTTGGCTTTCACTGCTCTGAAGAGGGGAACATAGTTGTAAAAACACAGTGTACCTGCACCCTTGTTTGTGACACAAAAGCTGAACTGGGTGCTCTGGGGAAGTGAAGGGGAGGAATTTATGCAGGGACTGTACTGCAATTTAGTTCTTGGCTCCTGCTGTTACTTTGCATGGAAATGACTGCAGGATCATTTGGTAATTCATGGAATATTTAATAACGACAACCTGTCTGGATTGTTTATATAGCCCCTTGCATTGGTGGTGCCTGTGTTCAAGTACGAGCCAGAGGGTCTCACACCAAATCATCAGTTCATTAGACACTGTTCTGGGCCAAGCTTGCCTTTGGGTGGGAAAGGGTGTTAAATAAGCAGCTCCAGCATGATCCCCTGGAGTTTTGCACCGTGATCAGCTGCAGGCAGGGTACAGCTTGCTCCTTATAGACTCACCAGCCTCCAGACTTGGATCTGCTCAAAATGTGCTGTTCCTGACACAGCTAGATGTCCTAGGATTTACACCTCCTCTTCATGGTCTCCAAATGCAATGAATACAGCCAAAAGTTGCCAGAGGCCTTTGCAGGCAGAACACTTTGAGATTCTGGTGTCCCACTGCAAAAGCCCCAGCATCACCTTCCAGCCCAGAGTGTAAGTACTGCCCAGTCTTCCCCTGGGTTGTAATAAAGCAGATTACGAAAAGGTTTGAGCATTTCAACTGATGGCTGAGTTCTTTTTACTTAAAATGGAATAACTTCATAGAGTATGCTTTGAGCACAGAATGTTTTGCAAAATAGAAAAATCAAATAGTTGGACTTCGCAAGATAAAAAAAAAAAGTTCTGTAGTTAGCACAGACTCTGAGAGCACATGGTGTTTTAATCAAGCTTCCTTGAGGAAAAGGAATTTTATTGAGTCTTCTTCAGATTTTAATGCTACAGTTAATTTTAACGATAACAGTACAGTAAAGTTGTTGAGGGGGCTCTCCTTACACCAGCAGAATTTATCAGCACGCACAAAAACTCTCAGCTGAACCTCTCAGTTACATAGTTTATTTCTTTTCCCATCAGCTATGCCTCACCAGCTGGTTTCTTAGTCCATGATTCCACAGGAAAATTGCAGAGAACACACAAGACCCCTCAGGGAGGGGATACACCACTCTTTGTGTTTCAGTGTGGTGGATGCTCCACACCTGGACCCTGCAGAGCAACAGGGCAGAACAGGCAGGGAAGGGAGAGCGGCTGCCGGCTGCTCCAGAGCAGGCACAGCAGGACCTGCCTGCACAGCCGTCTCATCTCAGAGGAGCACTCAGGCTTTCACAAGGGCACTTAATTTCAGAGTTGACATACAGCTCTAACTAGCTGGGCATGGATTCATCCAGCCTAAGTGCTGTCTGGGGCTCTGTGCCTGGCACTTCCCCTTGGCTGACTCAGCTGGCAGCGAGCAGCAGGCTCTGCATCTGCATCCCTGCGCTGTGGGAGAGTTGAGGGATGGTGGATAATATCGGGATTTTTTTCCTGGAACTGGTTCTTGATTTCTTCCAGTGATCTCATGCATGAGCTAGACTGAACCCAGAGTTCATGTGTGTGCCTAAACAGCACCTGAAAATCCCATTCCATAACTCACATTCTGAGTGATGGACTGAGCAGTCGCAGGGGCAGCATGTCCCAGCCATCGCTGTCTGATTGCTTCCATCACTGACCTCCTGGAAGCAGATTAAGCAGGGGGTTGGCAGGGGGTGGCTTTGGCTGCCTGTTTGTTGTCTAAACCCCAATAAAATCTTGGCTTTGCCTGGGTGGTTCACTGTGTTGCTTCCAGCAATGGAAAGGCTTTGGGAACCATTAGTGAGTGAGTTACAGGCCAGAGACTCATTTTTGTGTTCTGAGAAGGAGATGCACACCGAGGAGAGGAAATAAAACAGGTTGTAGATTATTTTAGGTGGTTTTTTTCAGTGAGAGGTGTGAAATATTTTGGAAACTGGTCTTATAGTCTTTCTTGGGAAACACAGACGCTGTTTTAGAAGAGTAGTGTAATTTGGGGCGTTGTTCAGCTGCTTGATTGTATTTGTAGGAGATTTCCTATTGATCCAATGCAGAAGGAAGAGTATGAGGCTCTCAGGAGAGGGAGGGGAACGTGTTGCCACGTTCCTTTCTCATGCATGGAGCTTTTAATGCACTTAGGCTATAAAAAGCTTCATTGTTGACTAATGTCATGGGTCTCGCTGAAAGCATTTCCCCCATCCCACCCAGAAGAGTTTTTCGGGATCCTTCGCGGTCCTTCTGCTCCCTCGAGGGCTCAGAAGAGCAGTGGTGTGTGGGCTCCCACCTGTCACCCCGGTGCTGTCTGCTCATCTGCCGAGGCAGGAGTACAAAGGAGGAGGCTGGCCAGGTGTCTGAGAGGGTGGTTGAGCACTGAGGAACCAACAGCACATGGTAGAAGTGTGTAACAAGCCGGTGAGCTGCTGCGGCTGTGACAAGCCGAGCTCCCAATCCGTGTGTTTCACAAAGAAGGAGGTTCTTCTGTAGACTTTGGGCAACAAAAGGCACAAAGCAAGGAGAACTGGATGTAGTAACAGCTCAGCCATCTCCATCCTTCAGAAGTCCACTGTCCCCAGCACCACATGTCTTGGGAGCAGCCTTGTGAGTTGAGTTTCAGTATAAATAGAGTGGGTGAAAGGACAACTTTGCAATTAGGTTCCACCAAATTTAGGCCAGCAGGTTGAATCAGAGAGGAAAGCTCAGAGAGGGAGACACTGACCTTCCCGAAAATTTGTCCGAAGACACCACAGGTGACTTATTGTCAGAGGTACCACATGTGGAGGAGCATGTTTTTCCTCTTCAGAGAAAGGGTTGAAATGAGATCCCCAGTGCCTCTGGGCACTGGAAGACTTCACATCCAGGTTCCAGGGGTTCTCAAATGCTGATTTGAGGACACTGGAATTTGTATTGAGTTGGGAATAAAACTAACTAAAATATTTAATTTTTGAATAAAACTAACTAAAATATTTAATTTTTGAACTATATAAACATTCTGTATTTGCACGAAAAGTTCTGATTTAAATTAAAAGTTTCCATCCTCTTCTTCCTCTGAAATAGAAATTTCAAATGAAACATCAATAATTCTGTATTTTGTTACAGAAAAGTCTCTTCCATTTTATACCATTCCCTATTAATATTGGGGTAGTTTGAAATAAATGGAAATTCCAAGAAAAGAAAATATGCTATTACAAAAACATGGCATTGCTTGACTATTGAATTTTCCTAGTGGTTTTGGGCCATGATACTTTCATCAGGAATTTGCTGCTGCATTAATAGAGATTTTTCTTTAAAGAACAAAATGAAAATCTTTAGACTGTGACATTTCCAGGTCTTTTGATGAAGTCTGAGCCTGCTATGTTTTTTTTTTGTTTTTCTTTGTTTTGTTGTTGTTGTTGGTTTGGGTTTTTTTAATCGTTTGATTTTTTTCTTTTGTTTTCCAAGAGTGTTAGCTGATTTTTGAGGATAGAGAAGAGCTTTTACCTATAGTGTTTGTTTAGATATCCTCTTAGGTCTCTAAAGTTAAAGGAGAAATCAAAAAGTCTCCTTGGATTTCTGATTTCATTTACAGGTAGTAAATATAGTGTGCAGAATCAGTTGCTCTATATTTTTCCACACATTTTAACCATAGCCATGGGACATTCTGTGGAGAATGTCTCGTCACTGCCAGCACTTACTGTCCCTGCATCCTGTCACATAGGTATAGCTTCTC